TATAAACAGCAAGGCACAATTAAATTTGTGAGATGTTATTATGGAAATAAAGGTAATTAAACATTTCTTTATTCAATACCAGAAGCCCAGATTCTAGTATTACCACATAGAAGTGTTTGCTAAGCTCGCTTAGCAAGTGAAATATAAGCCGTGTAAAATTCAGACCTGCTCAGGTCACTACTCTTGTTGTGCAATAAAAAACGTGTCATTCCTATTTTGCAATTGAGAAGATTGGAGTCTCAGAAGGAAAATAACTTGCCCAAAGTCACACAGTTGCACGGTGTAAGGTTTAAACACAAATACAACTCACAAATTCACCTAGTACCTCCTATTTTTATTAGTTTGTCTGGGGGATTTTTTGAGATAGGGTCTCACTCTGTCACCCAGGCTAGACTGCAGTGGTATCATAATAGCTCACTGCAACCTCAAACTCCTAGGCTCAAGTGATCCCAAGTAGCTGGGACTAGGCAGCCCACCAGCCTGGGCTAATTTTTCTATATTTTAGAGACTAGGTTCTCACTCTTGCTTAGACTGGTCTCAAACTCCTAACCTCAAGCAAACCCCTAGCCTGGGCCTCCTAGAATTACAGGTGGGAACCACTGGTGTGTGGCCCTTTTTTTTTTTTTTTGGAGGCAGAGTCTCACTATGTCACCCTTGATAGAGCTCACAGCAACCTCTAACTCTTGGGCTTAAACGATTCTCTTGTCTCAGCCTCCCAAGTAGCTGGGACTACAGGCACCCACCACAACCCCTGGCTATTTTTTTGTGCAGTTGTCATTGTTGTTTTATCTGGCCCAGGCTGGGTTCGAACCCGCCAACTTCGGTGTATGTGGCTGGTGCCCACTGTGCTACAGGCACTGAGAGGTGTGTGGCCCATTTTAATTGACATTAATTTACACAGAGACATAGTGAAGTCTCCTTGAAACTGAAAAATTTCTGTTGAGTTTTCAAAGTTCAAAACCTAATTTAACCTAGAACACAATTGTGCTAAGTGTTATGAGGGGCCCCAAAAAGTGTAGACTGTGGTTTCCTTTATAATAATATTTACATATCATATTTTGAGTTTTCACTTTTCATTAATCTTATTTTAAGATTGCAAACCACCTGTGGGATGGGACCAGTGGTCATTTTCATCTTACAGTTTCTGTTAATTGCAGGGGAGAACAATTAGCATTGAGTATCCATTGTATGGATGGTTTCCAAACAATCAGGGGAGCCATTTGTTATTACAAAAGTCAGGGGAAAGACAGCAGGAGGAAGGCTGGAGTCTGGAAGGTAGGGGTGCATTCAATGAAGTCTCTAGATGTACCAATTGATGGGGCCCCACATTTTACATGCTGGAAGGCTGCCAAGGGGAGCACGTGGCCAGGCAAGGTACCTGTGATTCCAGCACTTTGGGAGATCAAAGGAGGAGGATCAATTGAGGGCAGGAGTTCAAGACCAGCCTGAAAACAAAAAATAAAAAAATTAGCCAGGTGTGGTGGTACATACCTGTGATCTCAGCTACTCCAGAGACAGGAGGATCACTTGAGCCCAAGAATTTGAGGTTGCAGTGACCTATGATAACTCTAGCCCAGGCAACAGAGCGATACCCGTGTCAAAAAAAAATTTTTTTAATGGTGCATGTGCTAAATGTTGCAAGAGTTCATCTTCCTTCTTAGCTCACCCCTAAATCCCATTTACCCAGCATTGGAAATAACAATTACCATTCAGACCGCCAAACCTTTCCTGATTGTTGAAGTTGCCACAGTAAACCAAGTTCGTGGAAAACGTCAGCTGGAGAGTATTCCACTAACATCCCTCACAGCTTGTCAACTCAGCCTATGCACAGGTGATCCTTTGCAATCTTAGGAAGTAAAGAAAACGGCCCGTGTCTCCGCCCATCTCTTGCTTTAGCGACATGCAGCCACTGCCATCTTGTGGCCATACAGGGCACTGCCATGCCATTCCAGACAAATTCTACAAAAACTGTCTCCTGACACGGAAGATGGAAACTTAGTAGAATGAGAAAGGTGAAAGCAATCTTCAAATTAAAAAGATTTAGGCAGTCCGCAGTGTAAGACTGGCTTCTATTCTAAAACATTTGCTTTACATGGTGGCTGTTCTGAACTCGAGATACATTTTCTCTTCAGAAGAACACGGACGTGGTGAAGAGCCCCCCATGGCTTACCCACCAACACCTGTTTACCCAGCACAGCTCACGCTATTCCAACCTCGTCTATGGTCAGCCCCCTTCAAGAACGTGCATTGATGTCCCAGCTCAGGATGGCATCTTGCCTTGCTCTGGAACAAAACCAGTTCCCACATCTTCCCCATCAAACTAGAAAATTCCCGGATAGACACCTTGTCAGAGACACAGGCCCCAAAGCGGCCCCGGTGCCATAAACCTCTGGAGCCCCAGTGAGGCAGAAGCTCCTTGACAATCCTCAACTCTGGGTGCTGAAGAGAAGGAAGGTGTCTACTGAGACACTCCACTGCCGTTTGTCAAACTTTTAGTAAGACCTCTTAAATGTCACTCTCTGTACTGAGGGCTGGGAATGCAAGATCTCTGCCCCCAGGAAGTGACACTCCAGCTGGGAAAAGAGATATAAAGTCCAAGTTTACCGTGTCGGGCGCTAAGTGCCGTGAGACAGATGATAATGGTATTACAGAGTGAGGCTGTGGGCTGAGCTCTTTCCTTCGCTTATAAGCTTTTCTATGGTTTAAGTACAGCTAGCAAGTTGCAGAGCTGGGATGAGCACCTAGGTGATCTATAGCAAAGGGCGTTCTTGTCAGAAAAAACCTGCAACTGCAGGTATAAGAACTTTATAAGCCTGATATGGAACTACACGTGATTTGCTGAGATGAGAGGTGACGCAAGGATGGGTAACAGGTGAGGCAGGAGCCAGTACTAAGCTCAGTCCTTGGAATTCCTCTTGGATCCTAGAATTATTTTAAGAATGAAGTGACATCAGCAGATTTGGAGATGGCTTGGAGGAAGGCCACAGTCTGGTGGACTAATTAGGAGGTTATTACAATAACCAAGGCAGTAAATCTCAACGAAGGCACTGGCCCTTGGGATAGAGAAGAAAAATTCAAATCTCAAATGCTTTTGAGATACATTCTTTTATATGGATGTTTGTGTTCAAGATCCATTAGCCCAGGACACCCTGCCATCTATAGGGCAACTCAGTCTCTTTGAGGTGGCAAACAAGACCCTGTTCTATCTGGACAGAGCCTCCCTTTCAGCAGACACTTACCTTGGAGAGTGTGGGCAGGTGGCCCCGTACCTGTCTGCTCACCGCCCACACCGCCCATGATCCGGCCTCCCCTGTGCCTTTGCAAATGCTGTTTCCTGGGTCTCTTGTTGTTGCAGACTCCTCCTTTCTCTGTCAACTTGCTTCCTCTCCCCTCCTTCTCCTACGAGAGGTTTGGCATGTGTGTGAGTCACCTGGGAATGTTCCTCAGAGCATAGGCCCTGATTTGGTGGTTCCAGATGGGGCCCAAGAGTCTGCATTTCTCGCACACTCCCAGCTGGTCTGCAGGCTGCATGAGAGTAGCAACACTTTTTACATTTCCTCGGTATATTCTGATGAAAAAGCAATAAAAACATTATTTTTGTTTTTCTGCACTGATTCCTAAAGGAAAAATGGCCTACAGTAAAATACACGGAATTTAAACGTACAATTCAAAGGGTTTTGGCAAATGTATACACCCCTGTGACCTCAACTGAGAATGTTTGCATTTCTAGAAAATTCCACATTCTCCATTCCATTCAATCATCCAAGTAAAGAGGGTTCTGCAGGGACCCCAAATGATGCAGCCAAGAAAATAGATTTCTAATTCAAAAGGCTTGATGAAAAGGTAAATTTTAAGGAGAAACTGGAAAAACTGCATACCTTTCAGGCAATCCTGTGTAAAGATCATAAACTATTGATTTAAATAATCTCAGAATAATCTGTTCATTTTTCAGTAAATAATTCCACATACTAGGTCCTATTCTTGGTGTGGGACGCCAAGGTGAACATCACAGCCCTTTGCTCAGGAAGCCAGCTGTTATTCTGTTCAGGTGCTGTCACAAAACATCATAGACAGGCTGGTTTACAAACAGCAGAAATTTCTTCCTCACAGTCCTGGAGGGTAGGAAGTCCAAGATCAAGGGGCCTGCAGATCAGGTGTCCAGGGAGAGCCCCTCCTGGTTTATAGATGTTGCCTTCTTTATGTGCCCTCACATGGTGGAAGGGACTAGCCGGCCCTCTGGTGCTTCTTCTGCAAGGGCACTAATCCTATTCACCAGGACTCCACCCTCATGACCTCATCACCTCTCAAAGGAGTGGGAATTTCAACATATGAATTTTGGGGAAACACAAACATCCCGACGATAATACCAGCTCACTTCAAGCAGGGGAGAGACAAGGGGCCTAGAGAGCCCTCCTAGAAGAGAGAATTTGGGGATGTAGGGCCCAGCCTGGCCGAGGCAGGGAAGACTGGGAAGATGAGCAGAAGCGCTTGAATCTTTAATTAACCTCATTTTATTCATCTTATTCTTGCACAGACTTTGCATAACTCCCCTTAATAGAGTTCATTTCATCTTCACCATGGCCCTGTGGCAAGGCAGGAAATGTGTTTGTTCCCCTTTCACGGTTATGAAAACTGAGGATCAGAGAGTTTGACTGAAGGGCACGTGCAGGTCAGCAGCAGAGAGAAGCTTTAGCTCCCAGGAAAGCAGCCTCCATCACCCCACAGCTGCTCCCAGAAGTGCTCATGAAGTGTTGAGGTCGGCTGGTTGGCAGGAATCACAGGGGTGCTCTCCGTGGAAACCCAGACACCAGCCCGGGCCTGGGTGATAGGACCCTTCACCTGTGCTCTTGCCAATCCACACCCTCCTGAGATGTGACTCTCAGGCCCCTGGTGTTGTGTCCACAGAGACGTGTCTTTAGGGTCCCCTGCCCTGAACAGACCCCAACCTCACCCTAGAGTGTGCTGACCGCTATACCCCCTCGTGTGTGTGTTTTAGCATCATGAAAATCCTGCCCTGTGGCCTGCTGCTGCTCAGCCTCTTCCCCAGCATCTTCAGCAGCTGTCAGAGGGACTGTCTGACCTGCCGGGAGAAGCTCCGCCCAGCCCTGGACACCTTCAACTTGGAGGTAGGTCCGGAGGTGGGATGGGTCGCCATCCACAGCAGGCTCTGAGGGAGAAACTGAGGCGTCTCCCAGAGGTCACAGGACTTGTCCCACGTCACGCGGCTGGGTGGAGACAGATTCAGACTTGAGTTGCCTCCTCTGACTGTGAATCCCGTGATCTTTCCACCTTAACTCCTTCAAATAAAGCCCTGTGGGTATGGCCCTGTTATTCCAGAATTAAAAGAAAGCATGCTTATTTTAGAGAATTTGGCAAATTCAGAAAAGTATAAAAAAAAAGAAAAAATTAGAATCATCTTTAATCTCATGCTTTTTTTCCACTTGTTGTATTATACCAGGATAATTGTCCCATGTTATAAACGTGATGTTATTTCTTTCTATGAACTGTAGTGAGCAGTCAGCTCTCTGTATCCACAAGCTCCATATCCACGTAGTCAACCAGTGATCAAAAATATTCAGGCTCGGGGTGGTGCCTGTAGCTCAAGGAGGAGGGCACTGGCCCCAAACACCAGAGGTGATGGGTTCAAACCTGGCCCCAGCCAAAAACTGCAAAAAAATATATATATATATTCAGGCTCGGTGCTCACAACTCAGTGGTTAGGGCGCCAGCCACATACACTGGGGCTGGAGGGTTCAAACCCAGCCTGGGCCTGCTAAACAACAACAACTGCAACAAAACAGCCAGGCGTTGTGGCGGGCGCCTGTAGTCCCAGCTACTTGGAAGGCAGAGGCAAGCGAATCACTTATGTCCAAGAGTTTGAGGTTGCTGTGAGCTATGACACTATGGCACTCTACTGAGGGCAACATAGTAAGACTCTGTCTCAAAAAAACAACAACAAAAAATTGGAAAATAAAAACAATTAAAAACAAAAAGATTACAAATTAGGAAAATACAGTATAATAACTATTTACACAGCGTTTACATAGTGTCAGGTTTTATAAGTAATCTAGAGGTGATTTAAACTACACAGGAGGAGACGTGTAGGTCGTATAGTATTTTATATCGGGAACTTGAGCATCTGCAGACTTTGGTGTCCTGGAGATGCTAAGAAGTGACCCCTCCCCCTACAGATACCCAAGGACAACTGTAATTTGGGTAATAATGTCCCTCCTGTTGAACTTGTACTTTACCCCCCATTTTTCATCTGACAGATAATTCCACAACGAACATCCCAGTACCAAACTCTCTCATTTTATTTTACTGTACTTTATTGTATTGTATCACATTGCATTGTATTGTATTATATTCATTGCTTTAGAGACAGGGACTCACTCTGCTGCCCAGGCTGGAGTGCAGTGGTGAGACCATAGCTCGCTGCAGCTTTGAACTCCTGGGCTCAAGCAATCCTTCTGTCTCCCAAAGTAGCTGGGACTATAGGCACAGGCACCACCACATTCATCTGATTTTTTAAAAATTTTTGTAGAGATGGGGTCTCACTAGGTTGGCCAGGCTGAACTTGAACTCCTGGCCTCAAGGGAGTCTCATGCCTGGGCCTCTTAGAGTGCTAGGATCATAGGTGTGAGCCACCACACCCAGCTCTCCTATATTTTAACTTCCCAACTTAAGGTGTAAATCTAGTGTTAAACTTTTTATTCATAAACTGCTTTCTCAGCTACCTTAATCTCAGTCTAAAAAGTTCTTCCGGCTGGGCGCCTGTGGCTCAAGCGGCTAAGGCGCCAGCCACATACACCTAGGGTGGCGGGTTTGAATCCAACCCAGGCCCACCAAACAACAATGACAGCTGCAACCAAAAAATAACCAGGCATTCTGGCGGGCGCCTGTGGTTGGAGCTACTTTGGAGGCTGAGGCAGGAGACTCGCTTGAGCCCAGGAGTTGGAGGTTGCTGTGAGCTGTGATGCCACGGCACTTTACCCAGGGTGACAGCTTGAGGCTCTGTCTCAAAAATAAAATAAAATAAAAAGTTCTTCCCTCCTATATATATATATATTCCCTCTTATATATATAGCTCAGTTATTTTTTTTTAAGCTCAGTTATTTTTATGGTCAAATAAACTTTCAAAAGATGCCCACATTTCAAAACTCCTCAACCTTTCAAAACAACCTAAATTACTGCAGTTCCTTGAGGCAAATGTACAGACGCAGAACTGAGTATTCGTGTTGGGCTACAGCACCAAGGACTCCCCAGCTCCAGGTCACGGGGTTGCAAACATAGCCCAGCAGACCCCAGCACCGAGCTATTCCCTCTCCAGCTTGGTGATTTTAAGCCTGTTTTCCCACGACTAATAACTCCCCGGTCACAGAGAGCGTCTCCAGACAACCCGTTCAAAGTTTGTCGGCCCCTCTTACTCAGCCATCGAGCTTTTCTCTGAGCCCTCAGATATTCTAGCAATACTTCCTAAAGCAAACATCTCCCAAATGTCTCTTGGCCAGAAGTAGTGTGACTCCCTGAGGTGGCAGAAACGTGACCATCTCCAGTGGGCTCATGTGCTGTTGTGCCCCTTGTACCCTAATCTTTGAGCCCAGACATCCAAATAGCCTTTTGCTCACCGTCCCCACAAGCCCAGCTTAGAGACCAACTTGGCACCAGTGTGAGACTCCAGATGCTCCCGTACACTCTGGCTTAATATAGCAGTGTCATCAGCGTGGACTGCCAAGATGTGTCCAGCTCACTTAATAAGCCATTAACCCATCTCTGGAAAGAGGCCGGTGCATCCCCCAGTCCAGAGGGTTAGGCACTAAGCCCCATATGCCCATCTGGTGCTACAAATGCTGTTGTGAATTTGGATTCCTTCTATTTGCCCCAAACCTTCTCCTAAATCAGGAGTTGGGATGATTTTGTTAGTATCCAAATTACCTAGCAGTGCGTCGAGTCTGGGTACAGACTGTGGCATCTGGTTTGATCACAGAATCTCATTTTCTCTGATTGACACAAAATCTAATTACCATCTGGGCTTAGAAACCCAGGGGCTCAGGAAGATCTAATCGCCTCTAGTTTTAACAACTCTTCCTCCTGTTTCTGTAAACTGAAGGAGCAGCACAATTCAACAAGCATTTGGGGGCTATACGTGGCAAGGATTGGACCAAATGTGTCCAAATGCTCATCGCATCTGCAAAATTCTACACTGCTCAGTGTTTTCTCCGTGCCATCCACTATTCCTTTAATTCGTGTTGGTTTTATAGAGTAGCGTTAGGGGGTGGTAAAGTCCTGTGTGCTGTAGGCAGTTCCATCCCTGGCCTCTAGGTGCCATTAACACACACACAAACAGCCCAGTTCGGTATCTCCAGACACAGCCAAGTGTCCCCTGGGGGGCAAAATCACCCCCAGTTGAGACCCACTGCTATAAAATAACTCAATAGGATTATGATCTGAAAGAGGAGAGTGCAAATTGATTCCATCTGGCTCCTTCCAAGTATTTCAGGAACAGGCTAAGTACAGACACAAGTCACCCCAAGTGACTCCCCATGATGGCTTCTTATTCCTCAGAGCCAGTTCCAAAGCAGGTCCAGCCTCAGAATCACCTGGGGAGCTGACTAAAAATGCAAATTTTTGAGTCCCCCACCCTTGACTTGGTGGGTCAGAATTTCCATTTCCATTCTAACAAATTCCAATGGCCATTTTTATAGTCCACTCCCAAAGTCTGTGACTTCCCTGTTCTGTGGAAGCAGCTTATGGCTTTTTCATAACCAGTGACACTGCATCTATATCTCTCTACGGAGAGTGCAGTGACCACGTGTGCATTCTGTCAGCAGCGAGGGTCAGTCTGTTAAACATCAATGAGTAAAAGCTAAATGAAAAAGGCACCCTCAGAAAAATCACAGGAGCCTGAGGCAGAAGGATTGCTTGAGGCCAGGACTTCCAGACCAGCCTGGACAACATAGCAAGACCCCACCTCTTAAAAATATATATATAATCAGCCAGGTATGGTGGCTCATACCTATAGTCCCAGCTACTTGGGAATAGGTAGAAGGATACCTTGAGCCCAGAACTTTGAGGCTCCAGTGAACTACGATCCCACATTGAACTCTGGCCTGGCCAGGAGAGCGAGAGACCCTGTCTCTTAAAAAAAAAAAATAAATAAGTTGCCTCAGCACCTGTAGCTCAAGGGGCAAGGGCACCAGCCACATACACCAGAGCTGGCAGGTTCGAACCCAGCCCGGGCCTGCCAAGCAATGACAACTACAACCAAAAAAAAAATAGCTGGGTTTTGTGACAGGGCCCTGTAGTCCCAGCTACTCAGGAGGCTGAGGCAAGAGAATCACTTAAGCCCAGGAGTTAGAGGTTGATGTGAGCTGTGATGCAACAGCACTCTACCCAGGGCAATATCTAACAAATGCAATCAGTATAATCTAATTCTTTATACCCTCGATGAATCCCAAACAATAAAAAATAAATAAATAAACAAACAAACCGAGACTTTAGCAGAAGTTGAGGCCAATGTCACCACCTATGACAGGGCTTATGTGAGCTGCTCCTTGGAAACCTTCCTTGCCAGAGTTCAGGTGCATCCTGCTATACACGGACTCTCTCTCCTCTCAGGCCAGGGGGAAATGAGCACTATTCCCGCTGAATCCCACTTCTTGGTCTCCCAGAATCCTTATGCTTGGATTAACTGCCACCAATTCGTGTTGCAAGCACACAGAGGGAACTGAGGAGGAGGTGTCCCGTATTGGGCCCCGAGACAGTTCTGAGTTCTCCCTTGGGGTTATATTTTTATCTCATAGTGTTGTTTGGGGCACATGACTGAACCTCATCATAACACAAGATTGAAGGGCGTCTGTGATTTGCAAACTGGGGCCGATACCAGAATTACCTCACCTTTGTAAAATCAAGTTTTTAATTTCTTTGTAAAAATGAGTTTTAGTCCCTGGTTCTGTTCTTTAGAGATTTAATTGAGCCTCGGAATTCTGTGTTTTAAAAGCCCTGCCGATGATCTGGACTCTCGCCCAGGTTGGGGGGCCCACCAGACCAGGTGTGGCCTGAGGTCCCACCTAGCACTAGCATTCTATAAAATGCTTCCCTGATGCTCAGGAAGGATTGGGGTGTTCTCCCAGGGTGGACGGGGTGGGGGGCATCAGCTGCAGATACCCTCTTTTTTCCAGCCGGCTCACTCCCTTTCACATCCTCACCCTTCTTTGAGCCTCACTCTGTATCCAAGTATCAGATGCCTGGAAGGTGGACGGTCTCTTCTTACAGGACAGCTCACAGCCCAGTGAAGAGTCTCAGCCTAGAGTCCACCCCGGGTAGGCTGGTCCCTGGATGGGCCTCAGAAGAGCTACAGACCCTCTAACATGATGCAAATTTGACGTGTGTGCTTATAGGGTGAAAGGGTGGACTCATAGCTTTCCTTCACTTCTCAAAACAGATGGGACCCCCCCCCCAAAGGTGAAGAATCATGTTCTAAAGGGGCAGACAAGTGATCAGGACCACAAAGGTGGCAGCAGTGTATCCTAAGGCCTGGGGAGTTCCAGCCCAGGAGGCAACTATCATGTTTCCTCGAAAATAAGACAGTGTCTTATATTTATTTTTTCTCGAGAAGACACACTAGGACTTATTTTCAGGGGATGTCTTATTTTTATTAAGTATAATACAACAATCTATATTTATTCAAATACAGTTAAGTCATCTTCTTCTGGAACCTGACGGGGGAGCCGACCTTGGTGGGGCTGGCACTGGTGATGTGTGAACTCCTTTCCCCTAGCCGGTCGCACATGCACAATAGGATGCCTGAGACGGTGGTTACCACAAGCGCACCTGCGCAAGTGCGAATGGCTCAGAGAAAGGAGCTGTGGCAGATAAAAGGTATTCCAGTCTTCCTTACCATTCTGCACCAAAATGCATGGCGTGGTGCATGCAGCATATCTGCATAGCCACGCCCATCACTAGGTCTTATTATCAGGGTAGGGCTTATATTTAACGAATGCAGAGAAATCCTGCTAGGGCTTATTTTTTGGGTAGGTTTTATTTTCGGTTTTTTTTTCTCATCTCTTTTCAGTTCCTTCCTTTTTCACTCTTAGTAAATATAAGGTGACTTCCTGATTAACCCATTACAGTTCAACAAGCCTCTGTGGAAAGCCTACTATTTGCTGGAAGGATAAGATTCTTGCATGAGTAAGATATGGTCCCTAACTTGTCATATTCTGCCTTAGAAGATATTGCGATTTAATTATATTAAGCATTAAAATTTCCACAAGAGCCACACAAAAGTCTGTGGGAACGCAGAGGCAGGAGACAGCAGTCCTTGCCAGGGAACTGGAAGGAGGTATCAGAGAGATATCCCTGGAGCTTGCCTGCGTTCCCAAAGGAGGGACAGAAGGAGGCCACTGCATCAGAGGGACAGGTGAGGGAAGGTACAGAGCTGGGAAGAGCTTCTGAGAGCTGAGGCACAAGGAGGAATTAGAAATAAGACTTACAAGGTGGGCTGGACCAGGTGGTAGTGGGATCTGAATGCTCTGCTCCGGAGTGTGGAGCTAGTCTACGGACAAGAGAAAATGTCACAGGGCTGTGGACAAGGTCACGGCATGATTAGGGCTGCCCCTCAGGAACTGTATTCTGCCAGGGGCCACATGGATTTCAATCAGAGACAGGGAGATCAGTTCCGGCACCACTGCACCCTAAGAGGTGCTTAGGCAGTGGCAGAGGGGGTGGGAACGAGGGGGCAGACCCACACAATGGGGGGTACAAGAAGGATGGTGGGGATACACCCAGGGCTTTAAACCTAAGTCAAGTGGGGGATAGGTGCCACTCAGAGACTGAGACAGAGGCTGAGAGGTCTGGCCAAAGAGCAGGGACTGTATATCAGATAAGAATTGAATCTGGGGGCTTGGCGCCTGTGGCTCAAGCAGTTAAGGCACCAGCCACATACATCTAAGCTGGCAGGTTCGAATCCAGCCCAAGCCCGCCAAACAATGACAACTACAACCAAAAAAAAATAGCCAGGCATTGTGGCGGGCTCCTATAGTCCCAGCTACAGGCTGGGAGGCGGAGGCAGGAGAATTGCATGAGCCCCAGGAGTTGGAGGTTGCTATGAGCTGTGATGCCATGGCACTCTGCCCAGGGTGACAGCTTGAGGCCCTGTCTCAAAAAAAAAAAAAAAAAAAGACTTGAAACTGGGGCTCAGCACCTATAGCTCAATGATTAGGGAGCCAGCCACATGTACTGGGGCCGGTAGGTTCGAACCCAGCCAAAGCCTGCTAAACAACAGTCACAACAACAACAAAAAATAGCCAGGTGTTGTGGTGGGCACCTATAGTCCCAGCTACTGGGAGACTGAGGCAAGAGAATCGCTTAAGCCCCAAAATTTGAGATTGCTGTGAGCTGTGATACCACAGCACTCTACCGAGGGCAACATAATGAGACTCTGTCTCAAAAAAAAAAAAAAAAAAGAATTGAATCTGGGCCGGGCCTGGTGGCTCAGGCCTGTAATCCTAGCACTCTGGGAGGCTGAGGTGGATTGCCTGAGCTCACAAGTTCAAGACCAGTCTGAGATAGAGCGAGACCGGTCTCTAAAAAATAGCCAGGCATTGTGGCACCTGTAGTCCCAGCTACTCGGGAAGCTGAGGCAAGAGAATCTCTTGAGCCCAGGAGTGTGAGTGCTATGAGCTATGACACCATAGTACTCTACTAGGGGGCGACAAAGTGAGACTCTGTCTCAAAAAAAAGAAAAAAGAATTGAATCCACCTGCTAGTAAGAGCAACCTAAAGTGACAGTGGCTGAATCAGAGGGCATGAGGAATGGACAGTCCAGGCTGCTACGGCAGGTGCGGTCTTCTCCTTTTTGTCCCACCAGTGTGTGGCTTCCAGCATGTGACTTCCATCCTTGAGGTCACCACATGTCTTCTAGACAGGCAGCAGAGCACCAGCTAAATGGTCCACATTCTATGCAGGAACCGGGAGGAAGGAGAGGAGGAAGGACAAAGGGTGTTCCTCCCAGCCAAGTCAGCCCCTCCTTTGCAGGAGGCCTCACCTGAACACACCCCTTTTTATGCCTTTGGCCACCTGTGGCCACAAGAGAAGTTGGGAAACATGTGTTGCCTTCAGGAAGAAAACAGTGTTTTCTGAGAGTAAAGAAAAGGGGAGGTGCGTATGGCACGGGCAGCTGGCAGCCTTGCCCCGGAGGTGCCCCGTAAGCCGGGCAGGAGCTCCAGAGTGTGAGGAAGGGCTCTGGCTGCTGCTGCCTCAAGGCAGCGAGGTCGAAGGGGTGGGTCCTGTGGGGTTTTCATACTACTATGACCAGGAAGGTGCTGAGCATCAGGGGTGAAGCCAAAACAGCAAATTGGAAGAAAAGTTGGAGACAGAGGCTTCTGGAGGAGGTGGAGGCCAGGCTGGTAGCTGCAGAGACAGAGCAGGAGCAGTTTCCAGGGGGCGGCTGGGTGGGTCTGCAGGGCTCACATCCTATGAGAGGTTCTCTTCCTCGCCCGGAGCTGAGAGCAGGTTTAGCCCTGCCCATCCAACCTGCCCCACTCCCAGAGGGTCTGGACATTTGTTTGCTCTAAAGGCCACATGGGTGGTGAGGACTGCTGTACGCAGGATGAAAAACTAATGACACCAGGATTGATCTTTATACATGACCTTAAAATAAACAGCAGATTTGACTGCATACTTTCACATCCCCAATTTCTTTAACCCATCTGACCTTCCAAAAGCCTGATGAGAGAACAAAATAAAACTCTTCTTTGGGGGAGGCGGCCAATGAACTGTGCTCGACCTCAAAGTCCCGACTGAGGGTCTAACAGCATACAATTAGGGATGCTTTATTCTGCGTTAACTTGCTGGGTCACCTGGGGTAAGTTAACCTCGCCCGTCTAAGCCCTGGTTTCTTTGTTTATAAAATGATGGAGCTGGGTCAAATGATTCTATTTCTTTCTGACTCTGAAATTTTATGAACCAAAAAAGCTAGATGTAAAACTGCTGCCCAGGACTTGCTAAATAGATGCCTCAGAAGCCTGGGCATTGGGGTGGACACCATCGGCAGAGGGATTCGTGTCCCCCCCGGGCAGGGACTAACAGAGCTCCTTGGTCCTTTTCTCTCCTCGAACCTGTGTCTCTACAGGTGTGCCTCCTCGAGTGTGAAGAGAAGGTCTCCCCTAGCCCGCTCTGGACTCTGTGCGCCAAGGTCACGGCCAGGGGCTCCCGGCAGCTCAGCCCCGGCGACCCCGATCACACAGCAGCTGTGCTCTACCAGCCCGGAGCCCCCGAGATGCAGCATCTGAAACGGATGCCCCGCGTTGGGAGCCTGTTCCCAGCAGAGGATGAAACCAGGCCTGGCCCGGAGGAAGCTGGTGAGATGGAGACCCAGCAGAAGCAGCTGCAGAAGAGGTTTGGGGGCTTCACCGGGGCACGGAAGTCGGCCCGGAAGTTGGCCAACCAGAAGCGGTTCAGTGAGTTCATGAGGCAGTACCTGGTCCTGAGCTTGCAGTCCAGCCAGCGCCGGCGCACCCTGCAGCAGAATGGTAATGTGTAGCCGGAGGGGGCCCTCCCAGCTGCACCGGCCACCGCCACCCCTGAGTGAGTTGGGCTCTGGTTAGCTGGGGGCAAGAAGAGACCTCACACCCCAGCCACCTCAGCCTCACTCCGGGCCTGGGAGCATGTTAGCCCTGAACACACATACACACCACCTCCAGACATCCAGTTTCCAGGAGGCCTGCAAGGGATATGCCCCTGCCTTCCTCCTGCCCACCCTTTCTCTAGATCTTCCTATGGTTGCTCCTTGAGACTGACCACTCCCATTTGGAGACCAGTTACCATGGGGATAATAGTAGTACCTTAGGATAACTAATTCCTCCATCACTCTCCAGGAGCTTAGTTACCATGGGGACAGCTAAGTGGACCAATCCTCCTATCTGGTTGCTATAGCAACCATTCAGCTCCCCTCTCTCAGAGACTATATCTCTAAAAACCAATCACTGGACCTACTCTCAGCCGTTCTCTAAGAGTCCGATTACTGTGGCTATGATGTTGGTGTTTTGTCTCCCAAGATGACTCACCAATCTTCCCTTCCGGCTGCTGTGTGGACCCTCTGGAAACCATTAAACTTTTCCATTCCCCCCAGCCAAGTTCCCCTTAGACCCAGGAGTTCTGCTTTCTGCTTCTTCTCCTTCCACAAGCCGTTTGTCCCTCCCGCCACGTTGCTGGAGAAGCACTGATTCCTTGTAGCCAATGGCATCGTCACTGAGCAGGACTTGGAGAACTGGGCCCAAGTGACCCAGCAGCTTTTAGACTAAAGGAATCTATCTTCCCGCCTCGATTTTCACTTCTTTCCGAGGTGCCGTTTTGCTTGCCTTTACTCCTCTCGCCTTTCTTCCTCATTCTCCCTGTCTTCTGCTCTCTTCCTCTCCCCCAGCACAATTAGTCAAGCACACTTATTAATAATAAGTATCAGATAATGCACATCAGATACTCTAATTTATTCCCTGGTCATTCGAGATTCAACTTTCCTTAGCCCACCAACCCATGCATACCCTGGAGTAGCACTGGGGACTAGCATAGTGGAATTTTCTGAAAATTTTTTAAAAATCCCACCCTGGCTTGGCACCTGTAGCACAAGTGGCTAAGGCACCAGCCACATACACCAGAG